AAGTCTTACGAAACACACATTTACACACACACACACACACACACACACACACACACGCAAATTCTCAGCATGCAGTCCACTGAGAGAAAACGTGCCTTTTGCAGTTAAGACCAATTGTTTGTTGGATAGAGTTAAACTTCAATGTTTGTTTGTTTTATTCATATACTTCTGCAGAGAACTGAACTGCTTTAGTGATTTTGTATGTATTTTCTTTATGAATAAAGTATATTTTTGAAATAAAAACTTCTTCGTACGACTTTTTAAATATGAGACATTATTCTGTGTATTTCATTTGATTCACCATCACAAAATGGAAGTTGCAATGTATTACTTCATGGGCTGGGAATACTGCTGGTGAGCTAACATTTGCTGCTTGCTCAGTGGCTGGTTAGGCCACCAGTCAACCACATTGCTGTAGGTGTAGAGTTGCGTGTAGATCAGATCAGAAAAGAGTGGCAAATTTCCATCCGTAAAGGACTTTAGTGAGCCAGATGGGTTTTTAGTGACAGCTGTTGAGAGTTTCCTGGTCACCATTGCTGAGACTCAATTGCACTTCCAGGCTATTTATTGAATTTAAATACCGCCAGCTACTCTGGAGGTATTTTAATGACCCCAGGGTATTAGCCCAGTCCTTTATTGCAGTGACATTACTGCTGTCACCTTTCCTCGGTCATTTCTCATCGTAAAGGATATTTTCTTGGTGGTTCAACAGATTGTTTAGTAAGTACCAGGATAACAATTTTCCCAACGGCCTACAGGGCGCCAGAGTTTCCATTTCTCAGCACCAGTTCCATGCTTGCAGACGGTGCTGCATTTTGTTCACTCATTTTGTTTGGTAACGAAAGCTGAACATCTGAAAGGGGAAGGCAATGTTAAATTTCCTTTCTCGCTGGCTCCTTGAAAATGAAAGAAAAATCTCAGCTCAATCTCAAATGAGTCAGAACAGCTCTGGGTTTTCCATCCCCTGGTATTGTGGAAGTGAGAGGCGACACTGTATCGGAATTTAATGCAGTTTCAATGGCAAATTTATGAAGAAGCTACAGAAGTAAATGAGGTGTCCAAATAGGGAAGCAACTGTAATGTGAACAGTGGGGAAAGAATGCTAAAAGCTGTATTTCAACCTGTACGTCAGTGTAGAAGACAAAAGGCAGAATCTAGTTTTAAAACAATCATCAAATATATGTAGAGACAACAAGGTGCAGAGCTGGATGAACACAGCAGGCCAAGCAGCATCATAGGAGCAAAAAGGCTGACGTTTTGGGCCTAGACCCTTCATCAGAAAAGGGGGAGGGGAAGGGGGTTTTGAAATAAATAGGGAGAGAGGGGGAGGCAGATAGAAAATGGATAGAGGAGAAGATAGGTGGAGAGGAAACAGTCAGGTCGAAGAGGCGGGGATGGAGCCAGTAAAGGTGAGTGTAGGTGGGGAGTTAGGGAGGGGATAGGTCAGTCCAGGGAGGACGGACAGGTCAAGGGGGCGGGGTGAGGTTAGTAGGTAGGAGATGGGGGTGCGGCTTGAGGTGGGAGGAGGGTATAGGTGGGAGGAAGAACAGGTTAGGGAGGCGGGGATGAGCTGGGCTGGTTTTGGGATGCGGTGGGGAGAGGGGAGATTTTGAAGCTTGTGAAATCCACATTGATACCATTGGGCTGCAGGGTTCCCAAGCGGAATATGAGTTGCTGTTCCTGCAACCTTCGGGTGGCATCGTTGTGGCACTGCAGGAGGCCCAGGATGGACATGTCATCTGAGGAATGGGAGGGGGAGTTGAAATGGTTCGCGACTGGGAGGTGCAGTTGTATATTGCGAACCGAGCGTAGGTGTTCTGCAAAGCGGTCCCCGAGCCTCCGCTTGGTTTCCCCGATGTAGAGATAAGCCACACCGGGTACAGCGGATGCAGTATACCACATTGGCAGATGTGCAGGTGAACATCAGCTTGATGTGGAAAGTCTTCTTGGGGCCTGGGATGGGGGTGAGGGAGGAGGTATGGGGGCAGGTGTAGCACTTCCTGCAGTTGCAGGGAAAAGTGCCGGGTGTGGTGGGGCTGGAGGAGAGTGTGGAGCGGACAAGGGAGTCACGGAGAGAGTGGTCCCTCAGAAAAGCAGATAAGGGTGGGGAGGGAAAGATGTCTTTGGTGGTGGGGTCGGATTGCAGATGGCGGAAATGTCGGAGGATTATGCGTTGGATCCGGAGGTTGGTGGGGTGGTACGTGAGGACGAGGGGGATTCTTTTTTGGTTCTTATTGCGTGGACGGGGTGTGAGAGATGAGTTGCGGGAAATGTGGGAGACACGGTTGAGGGCGTTCTCGACCGCTGTATCTATATATATATACACACATATTTAGATTGGTATGAATGTTTTTTTTTAATCCATTGTGAAAAAATGAAGAAATGTTTGCAGAAAGGCCAGCAGATTTATCAAGGCAGAGTATAAATTGTGAATACTGTGAGAGCGCCACACAAAGGAATAGGAAGCAGGTCCAGTGTGTTAAAACAGTGCTTTACCTTGAGGAAGCTGAATCAATTTAGCTGCCAGAAAGAATTAAAGCAAGCCTATAATGGTAGCAACTGGGGAGGTGTCTGATGCATACAACGGGCTGGTACATGAGGTTTGAGGGTGATAAATGGTTTAAAACTGTTCACAATTATGACTGGAGAAGGAAATCGTCGAGTGAATGTGAAGGTTCAAATAGACATCAGTGTTTCTTGCCACATCAGGAGCTTCATAGACCTGTGAGAAGTGGCCCGAGGTGATGACTCAGAAATGAAGCCCTCAAAGTTAAAGTTGAGGCAACAGATGGAATGATACTCATCCTGAGAGCGCAATGCAATGGGAAGAAAAATTATCTACAGCTCCAGACATTAGACATTCAGCAAAAGCGAAACAAAAACCAAAAGAACTGCTGATGCTGTAAATCAGGAACAAAAACAGAAGTTGCTGAAAAAGCGCAGCAGGTCTGGCAGCATCCGTGAAGAGAAAATCAGAGTTAACGTTTCGGGTCCAGTGACCCTTCCTCAGAACTCAGTTTTCTTGCAGACCTGCTGAACTTTTGCAGCAACTTCTATTTTTATTCAGCAGAAGCTATTCATTGCGATTGAACCCAGTGTAGAGTTTGGATTTGTCAGGAGAGATTTGTAATGTTTCATAGGCTATTGAGCCATTGAGTGCTGAATAGACCCTAAAAGATTACAAAGATGTCGCTGCAGATTGTGGATCTCTTCCTGGCGAATATAAGCTTGAAGTGCGTGACAGTGTAGGACCAACTCACCATCTGCTGAGGAGAGTTCTGAATTACCCTCAAATGCAGCCAGAAAGGCAAGTTAGAGTAGTTGGAAAAGAAAGGACAAGAAAGTGACAAATTGTACAGAGCAGCATTGGTAGCAGAGAACAAAACCTGGAAAACAGGGAATATGCACATATCTAAAAGTTTCAATGATGTTTTGAAGGAATTTCACTACCCAATGCCAACTATCAAAAAAATTTTGAAACCACTTGTTAGGGCACTACTAATCTCACTACAGAAAATGTTTACTTACTGTACAAGTGAAGCTGGATGAAAGCAGCAGATTTCCAACTACTTTACATTTTCGATAACATTTGAGAGATACAGACGATGGTGCAAGCTGTTTGCCATTTCCACTGCTCTGGAAGAGTAACAATGCAGGCAATATGAGAAGGTCAATCACCTTCCTTTAGTGGAAGCTGTCATGAATTATCTGCTAATCTATGGATCGTAGAAATCCTACAGTTCAGAAGAGGCCATTCAGCCCATCAAATCTGCACTGATCCTCCAACGACCGGCCACTCGATCTCCATATCCCTGTATTCATAGCTAACCCCCAACCCTGCACATCCCTGGACCCTACAGGACGATTTAGCATGGCAGTCCACCTAACTTGCACATCTTTGGACTGTGGGAGGAAACTGGACCAGCCAAAAGAAACCCATGCAGACACTGGGAGAATGTGCAAACTCCAAACAGACAGCCGCTTGAGGGTGGAATCAAACTCAGGTCCTTGGCCCTATGAGGCAGCAGTGTCGACCATTGAGCTACTGTGCTACCTCCAGTGTGGGGTTACTTTTGGAAAAATCATGTTCAGAATCTAGTACAAGGCAGGACTAGGAGTGACATTCATGCAGCAAAGACACTTGCAAATACAGTATAAATGCAAACTCAAACTAACGCTTCCTGGAGAAGGAATATATTCCCAGGAATGAGCAACTATGCATTGCTAACACCAAGCAGTTCTAGGGAAAGCCATGCCAGATGGATCTGAGGTTGAGTAAGGAAAGATAGCTTTTGAGGATGCCAGAAGTACACGGGTCATGATAGCCAAAGGACCTCAATCAGCTCCTCACAAGGTGAGAGCTGTAATTGAATCAAACAACTAGTGATGACAACCCCAGTACTGAGGAACTGCAATGAATGATGAGGTCACCTTGTGCAAGTGACACAAGCAAGGCAGGACTTAGAGTAACCCTATGCAGCAAGGACAATTAGTTGCATTTGGCATCCAGTACGTTAATGCGAACAGAACACTCTTCCTGGAGAAAGAATAGCATCCCAGGAACAAGCAAACACCTGACATATTGCTCACACCAACTCACACATTTGCCATTAAAAGTCCTGAATGCTTTAGAGGTCACAGATGAAATGCATATACAGGGACAAACAAAACTGGGACTGATGAAATTTTTTTGTTCTTTTTTTATGAGTACTGTTGTTCTTCATTGACTGTGCATATTGATAACTTGATTAATGTAACTGTAAATGATAGTGCATGCTCTTATTTCATGGCAATGGGGAGAGTTGAGAAAATGCATTTGTTAGGACAGTGTATACTTGTGATTATGTAACCTCTGCTGTAAGTTGTTTTCACTTTAAACCACATAGCCATTCAACACACCACATGAAACAGATATTTGTTTCCTGCAATGGCTTTCCCATGCTGCAATGACCCTTTCCTCCTGTCATGACCTTCTGTCCCCCCACAGTGACTATCTCCTCCAATGCAGTGAACCTCACTTCCTCCACAGTGACTCTTGTTCATCTAAACATGGATAAAATATTAAGGCAGCATTTGAACAAGTATGGAATGAAGGAGCCTTGGAAAGTTGACTTGGAGGGCTTAAAGTCTCAACTGATTGTAGTCCCATCAAGGACAAAGAAGATGGCATGGTTGTTGGAGATCAATCTTTTCAGTTCCAGTACAATACTGAAGGAGTTCCTCAAGGTAGTGCCCCACAACCAACATTTTCAATTGTTTCATCAATGACTTTTCCTCCATTATAAGGTCAGATGTTGGGCTGTTCATGGATGACTGCAGTTTTCAGTAACATTTGTGACTCCTCAGCTACTGAAGTATTCTGCATTCACATGCAGCAAGGCTTGGACAACAACTGGGTTTTGGTTGACAATTGCAAATGATGTTTGACAAATGCCAGAAAAATGACTATCTCCAATTTTGGATTAGAATATAACCGTCTCCCTTAGACATTCATATCAGATTAACATTAGTGAAAAGTCCACCAATTGCATCTTGGAAGTTATCACTGACCAGAAGCTTAACTGGATCAACTGTTCCTACTGTTACTACAAGATTAGATGGTAGGTTGGGAATTCTGTGGTGCACAACCAATCTCCAAATGTCCAAAGTATTTCCACTATCTACAAGGCACACTCAGGAGTGTGATGGAATACTCTCCACTTGCCTGATCCATCAACACTCAAGAAGCTTGACACCATCCAGCACAGATCAATGCATTTCATGAACCCCTCATACACCCTTTTACACATTCACTCCCTCCATCACTGATACATAATGGTAGCTGTGTTCACAGTCACCAAGGCTCCTTCAACAACACCTTCTAACCCAGTGACTTCTACCACCCAGAAATAGAGGGGTCAGTTAGTTCAGTTGGCTGGATGGCAAGTTTATGGTGTGGAGTGAAACCAACTGCGGGAGTTCGGTTCCGGCTGAGAATACCATGATGGATTCTCCTTCTCAATCTCTCCCCTCACACGAGGCATGATGACCCTCCGGTTAAAATGCCACTGTCATTTCTATCTAATGCAGGACCATGGTGATTTAACTTTTAACCACCTAAAAGGACAAGGGTAGCAGGTAGATGCAAACACAGCTACCTTCCCCACCCCCCCTCCCATGTGATACTTCACTCTAACTTGGAAGTGTGTCACCATTCCTTCACTGTTGTTGGGGTCATTAACCTGGAAATCCCTCACTAACACCACTGTGGGTGGGCCTACAATACATAGAGTGCAAAGTTCAAGAACGCACCTCACTACCAGCTTCTTGAAGGGTTTTTGGAATGGGCAATAAATATTGGGCTATCCAACTACACCATGACTGAAAATAGCCTGTCCTTAGTGGTGGAACTCCCATCACAGAAATAAAGTCTTTCCACATAAATGACTCCCTTATTCAGCCATGACCTATCCGCCCGGCAACAGTCCTCTCCCCTACCCCTAGCCGTGGGCCTAAACCTAATGCAGCGACCCTCTGATCCACTCCAAAGGTGTGACCCACTCTGCAGTCACCCTCTCACCCAGTACAGATCCACTTTCTCTGTGGCCATCTAAATCATTCACCCTTTCCAAACATCTCCCCCCAACAGTGATCTTCTCCCAGCAACCCCCCCCCACCCAAAAAGTAGTCCTCTTGCCTCTGCAGTGTGACTCCCCCAAAAGGTCACAGATTCTTGCCTTCAATGGCCTTTGCCCACATCCCAGGCCCTGTCATCAACTTCCAGCATGGCCAACCCATTTACAGAGATAACAAGGTGTAGAGCTGGATGAACACAGCAGGCCAAGCAGCATCAGAGGAGCAGGAAGGCTGATGTTTCGGGCCTAGACCCTTCTTCAGAAATGAG